CTTCTGAGTATTCTCTACCTAGAAAATCCTGGAAAGGGTTACTGTAAGTCAGAACCGATGTGATATCATCTAATTATAAGTACTATACAGTATATGCCTATATGGATCTATTCAGAAACGAGCCATATTGAGTACAGCATGCCTTACCCCCCAGGTAAAATGCATATAGAAATACACCCTAAATGCCTAGGGTTGTCTTGTTCTCCATTGTCTGTATCAACAACAGCCTTGTTGACAAGAGTCAAGGTCATTCAACATTGATTGTGTCTCACAAAAAAGATTTTGTGAAGTCGCCCTATGAGTTTATGAACAAATTGGACATAATCTAGCACAGATGGACTCATTAATTAAATTCAAGTGAAGGATGAAGAATGCTGTAATATTTATCAGGGTTGGGGAAATACATAGTATTCCAGGTGTTGCTGGATTTCCTAGAAAGCTAGAACATGTCATCAACCCCAGCTAGCCTACCCTTTGGTGATGGCATTAATTAATCTGCATCTGGAATATCTCAGATTCTGCACCTCTGGACTTTACTGGAAAGAGGAAAAGATAAGTTAGGGCATATTTCCAAAATGGATCTTCTGTTCAACCTATGTTGCAACTATCTTTGCCCCAAAGGTGCTTAACACTGTCCAGAATGGTGACTGTTTTGAATCTGATATTCATAATTCCCAGATTCTCTGTCTGAGTTATGTTGCCATTTAATCTCTTGGATGCTAAGTCCTGGACTTCCCAAATATTGAAGTTGTCTTTTTAGCACTGATGATCAATAGCCATTAAATTAAAATTTTCTTCTGCTTCTGTTTCTTAGACTTCAGGCTGAAGTGGATGAGGTTATTGGTGTGAAGACAGACATTGCCTATGAAGATCTTGGAAAGCTTGAATACTTATCACAGGTACTGTAATAAAGAGACCACAGCTAACCCAGAACTACTCTGAATAAGTCTTGCTGAATCATCCCACAGTGACAAAAATAATAAAATTGTTCCCAAAACGGAGCTTGCAACATGATGCTTGACAGCCTCTAAAGCAATTAATGTCCCAGTGTGAATTTGCTGTAGTATAAACACATTACAAAAAGACTTTATAGGATTCCCATGCTGTGGAAAACTGTAATTTCCTAGCAGTCATGGTGGTCAGTGGAACAATCAACACAGTGCTGTAATACTTTTATTGTTCACAATGTTGGCTGTGCAAAGAATTCTAGCTTTCCTTCATTCTTTTCTCCGTGATAGTTGAGCTGGTTAGTGAGTCACTCACTAATCAAAGCTTTGCCATCACTAAGACAAGTGCATTCTGCACATTTGGCCTACTGTTACTATACTATGTGGCTGTGTGTGTTTCAGTGTCATCCACACAATATTCCCCATGATGTTACAGAATCTTCTCGATGTCCTATTGTTTTTTAGTATTTGTCTGTTGCAGAATCAGGCCTTTGTATGGATGCCTGGAAGTAAGTCACTCTGAACTCTGAATTTAGCTGAAACACTGAATTGGTTGTGGAAATGGGAGGCCCTACTGACATTGTTGGGTTGTACTCTTCAACTCTAGCCAGCACATCCAAGAGTGAAGAATTATTAGAAGTGGAATACAATGGCTAGACAGTCAGTCGTTCTCCATCTCTGTAATAAAAAATATGATTCAGCAGGCCGAGGCAAAGAGGAAGTCACAAAAGTAGCAAAATCAGGGAGCTGGACAGGGGACAGATTGGATTTGTCTTCAGTGTAGAAGGGATTTTCAATCTTGAATTGGCCTTCTCAGCCACACTAGATGCTGTTCCAAGTCCTCTATACAGAGCACGTCACCATAGTCTTTCGAGACTGAAGGATGCCTAAGTATCTAACTAGTAGTATACAGATCCACAGTGCAAAAAATGACCCTTAGGGAGCCTAAGCACATAAAATGGGGGGATAGGAATGATTTAATTAATTTAAAATAAATTTTAGCAGCATGGGCAGATGATGGCATCAGCTCTCACTACATAAAGTTATGTGAACAGAATTTTGGAATTTTTTTTTATGCTGAGAATCACTTGGTAAATTTATTGCCCAAGCAGTTTTTTAAATGGGATGTATTCCAGATGAAAGGACAAGGGGAAAAATGACCAGTGTATGTTGGATGAAATCCATCTTCACTATTTTAGGTCCTCAAAGAAGTTCTACGATTATATCCACTAGCTCCTCGCACAGTACGCTGGACAGGAACAGAGAACATCATTGAAGGGGTTAAAATTCCAGCAAACACCACCCTGATTGTGAGTCTGTTCAATGGGCTGCAGCATATGGTTGTCCAAAGCTCTTCGGTATTTGGCCCCAAATGTCCACTGACGTAACTGAATTGTACACCTAAGGCAATGAATATTTGCTATGATTCCATAGGAGTGCATGAAAACAGGAGCAAGTGATAGTAGATGCTGAACTTGGTCTCCTAAACCATCTGTCTTTTGGGGGACAGATGTAAATAAAACAAATGATAAACAAGTCATGCATAGATTTTTTTAATATATGTAAATAAAATGTTGTTTCATAGATATATACGGGTTTCAGCAGTCCCCTTTTGACTTAAAGCAGAATGCCTTCTTTATAAAGTGTATTTTCCAGATGGTCTATATTTATTTTGCTTGTTTTATATTAATATTCAGATTCCACGTGTCTGAGGGGGAAAAAAGTCTAGGCAGGTATCAATATATAAAACAGGAAAATAGAATGATTTAAAGAATAGTCAACATTTTAAAATGGCAGAAATAGAAAGGTGGGGACTCCTAACTTGAAAATAAGTGCCCAGAGTAATAATAATGCAACTCTCCAAGCATTTTGGAGCAGAGTCCCTCTGAGGATAATATTCCAAAACCTGAGTGTCAAAATGGAAAACATCACTGACTTCTTCCTTCTGTGTTACATATCTGTGAACTTTAAAGACCTCTGAATATGAGCCAAGTATGAGAGCAGGCTAATGTAGCAGGAGGCAATTTGCGAGGAACCTGATTTGGGTTGGGTGCCTTGAACTCTCCAGATGTTCCTGGCATGCAGTTTCCATCACCCCCAACCAGCATAGCCAGTGGTGATGGATTAAAAGAAATTAAATTCAACAAAACATGTAGTGCCATAAATTGCCCAACCTATGCTTAATCTGTCAACCAGTCCCTCCCAACCTTGGGTCCCCAGATGTTCTTGGACACCAACTCCCAGAAATAGATATGGGGTATTTGTATTTATATATGAATACAAATACCACCACACAGGTAGACATAATGAAGGTCCGGCCACCAATTTGCCGCTGCTGTGGAGCCTTCCAATGGCTTTGAAGAGCTCATTCCGCGAGCCATTCTTTGACCGAGCACAGAGGCATCCATCTCCTGCGAGGATTTGCGAGCCGAACAGGATCTTCTGAGCCATGAGTGGATCATCCGGCCCCAGGAGGCTGGACCCTCATTATGTCCACCTGTGCGGGAGTGTTCATATTCTTATACGAATACAAATGCCCCCATCTCTACCCAGAAACCCTGGCCAGCACAGCTACTTGTGAAAGCTTCTGCAAATTTTAGTCCAAGAACACCTCGGGATCCAAGGTTGGGAACTATTGCTCTGAGCAAAGTCTATAAATATTTATTTATTTATTTATTTATTTATTTATTTATTTGATTTCATAGCATTCATTCCAGGCAAAGGGCGTTCTAGTGTTGACATGAAGTAAAAATAGATGCTGAAAATGCAAACAGAAATCCATTCTATTCTCTGTATCTGTCTCTTGCATCTGTCCAGCTGCCTCCCATGTGCAAATTTAAATGCCCCTCTTCCTTTGGCAGTTCAGCACATACGTGATGGGACGTATGGAAAGATATTTCAAGGATGCACTGACCTTCAATCCTGACCGATTTAGCAAAGATGAACCAAGGTGAGGCTCTGTCTTTCTTGCTCTCACTGGTCTGAAGGGCAGTTCTAGGAAAAATGGCTGTAGATGCTTTCTCCTTCATTTTGTCTGAGGACATCATGTAGAAAACTTTAGAAGGCCTAGTGAAAAATGTCAAACTTCTACAGTGCTGGAGAAGTCCTTGAGTTGGTTGCTCCTATAGAAAGGAGCAAATATGCTGCATATTTGTTATTTTCTGGCATTTCCATCAATATCTCTTAAAAGATACTTAAATTGGCATATTGTGCATTATTTTCCACACCATTAACAGTAGCTCAGTCTTCAGAATTTAACTGCTTGAACATTTTACAGCATGGAGGTCAGCATCATCACTTTCCCAGTAGGGAAAGCTGTAATTCTTGATACCTATGCAGACCTGCTTAAGAGGTTTTCTCAGTGTTTTTCAACAGGTTTTTGATTATATGGTGGTGGAAGTTAGCTTCTTTCTGATTGTTCTAGTGGAAGTAGTTTTGCCAGTGGAACCACTAAGTTTGAACTTAGCCTTAAGCGGCTAGGTTGTGTTTCATGGCTGTGTAACAAAAAGTGTCTGAATGATTTCTATCTGTCTTGATTTTTTTTAGACCATACTTTTGTTATTTCCCATTCTCCCTGGGACCTCGTTCTTGTATTGGGCAGGTATTTGCACTGGTAAGTGAGCCATCTCTAAAGCTGTCAGGTGTTCCTAAAAGGTGGAACTTGTCTTTTAAACTACAGGGCACCAGGAGAAAATATAGCACTTCTGTTTTTGATCTAAAGTTGGTGCCTCACAAGACGAATGTAATTTGTTCCATGAGAAGCGCTGTCTTGCGAAAAAATTGTCTTGCATAGGTTCCTCTATGGGAAATTTATTTGTCTTGCGAGGCATTGGTCTTGAAGAAAAAAAACATCTTGCGAAGCAAGGCCATAGAAGAAACCGTCTTTTGAGGCACCATAGCAATAGCAAAAACCAATCGTCTTGCAGGTTTTTTGTCCCGCGAGGTATTCATCTTGTGAGGCACCACTGTACCTGTTTTACATCAACAAGGATCCAATTGTTCCCCCTTATCTCCTAAATCTCATGGACCAGTGTTCCCCATGTTCTTGGACTTCCCACATGTTCTTGGACTTCAACTCCCACAGATTCTAGCTGGCACGGTTGGTGGCAAAGGCTTCTGGGAGTTTTGGTCCAAGGACATTTGGCATTTCAAAGTTGGGAACCACTAATCTGGTGTTTTTTTGTATTGCATTGGAGGTGGAGTTTAGTACTACCCTGTTTTCCCAAAAATAAGACCTATCCTGAAAATAAGCCCTAGCATGATTTTTCAGGATGCTCGTAATAGAAGCCCTGTGATACTCTGCCCTCCACCATTGTGCAGCATTGTGTAGCAACCAAAATACGATATGACAGTAAAATAAAACATCCCCTGAAAATAAGCCATAATGTCTTTTTTTAGGAGCAAAAATTAATATAAGACCCTGTCTTATTTTTGGGGAAACACGGTATGGTAGTTCTGATTTGAAATTGTTGGCTATGGTGAGAGCCCCCCAGTTGGATGCACTTGAAAAAAAAATTACATAAAAGTTAGCACAAAAGTGGATTTCTTAAAAGATTACGTAAAGAGAAAAGAGTGGACTTTAAAAGAAAAGTCTGATGGTGAACTCTGTTCTCTTTCCGTGCCAAACATCAGAAAGGCAGGGGGGAAACAGTCCTCCATCTAATAGAATGCTTTACTTGAATAGTGAGAGCAAGGACTGGTAATTGAGAGAGCCTTCTGAATTATAGATAACAGAAAGCAGCTTCCAGGTGTGTTGAAGTACAAGTCCTACAACTACAAGACCCACGTTCCCCAGCCATTGTGGCCAATGGGCGTGGAGATGGCAGAAACTGAGGTCTAGTATATTTGGCAGTGTCTGGCTGAGGAAGAATTGCTTTCTACCAAGTAAATTTTCTTAGAAGAACTGAGGGCATTTGAATGAGCCATGACACATAAACGACAGGAAACTAAAATGAATATATGAATGGAAATGAATAAAAAGACAAAAGCAGAGAATAGAATGAGTTAACATGAAGAAGACTAACAGAACTTTTACAAAGAATCAGAGCTGTGAAAGCTCTCAAGGTAGAGGAACGGGCTGAAGCATCCTGAAAGGTTAAGCGATGCTTCCATGAGAATAATGTTGACAAGATAATGATAATCAAAAGAAGAAAAAACATGAAGGTCCTGATTGAAGTGGAAGAGCTGAAGTAGATCATTTAGTGGTACGCCTGAAGTAATTATTAAGAAGCGTGATTGGTTCCCTTGCCAACTGGGGTGGTGGTATTTATATGACATAGCATATCAGGGCAACACAGAGGCATCAAGGAACAGAAGGCTGGAAACTGCCGTTTAGTTTTGAGAATTTGCATACAAAACAAAATACTGTAATGTATTTGGGCTTTCTTTTATAATGGTATGGAAGCAGGAATGAAAAAAAATTCTGTACATTTAATACATTATAAACTATGTGGGACATGAAGGCTGAAATACTAATCATGTTATGTTATTCTTACGTATCACCAAGTTACCTTTAGTTCATAGTGATCCTAATAGGGTTTTCAAGATATGTATGTGAAATACAGTGGTGCCTCGCATAACGTTTTTAATTGGTTAAAAAAAAAACGTTATGCGAAACATCGTTATGCGAAACACCATTTCCCATAGAGATGCATTGGAAACCGGTTAATCCGTTCCAATAGGCACGGATTGCCGTCCTTAAGCGAAAAAACCCATAGGAAACATCGTTATACGATACAATGTATCCTCCATTGGAATGTATTGTAGCTGACTCAATACGTTTCAATGGCTTTGCGAAGTCAATTTTTGCAAAATTAAGTGTGTCATAAAAGGGTCAAAAATGGTTTTAAATGCTTGGATTGTTAAACTATACAGGGAGCCAGAAACCATGGTTTGAATTCTTGTTGAATAAGAAAATACATGTGAAAATAATTTTTTGGATTTGTTTCTTTTTACCATGCTCCATATAGTGTTCACTATACATCTGTGGTTTTCAGCATGCACAGCAGGGCTTGGAAACAATCCCATATGGAAATGGGAGTCCTACTATGCTGACAAAATCCTGTATGCCTCTCTAAGCTCCTTAACAAGAATACCAGGCTTAAAATGTAAATGCAATAGACAAGCACGGACTGCTCACTGTTCCATTTTTTTCCATGGCAGATGGAGGCGAAAGTGGTCATGGCCAAATTTCTGCAGAGGTTTGAATTCCAGCTGGTTCCACCACAGAGCTTTAGAATTTGGGACTTAGTGACACTGAGACCTGCAGATGATGTGGTGTGCAGGTTGAAAGCACGATGTCATTAATTGAAATTCAGTGGAATCTTAGAACTCATATGGGGAAATGTTAAAGGACAATTAGTCCACAGTCAGTGTGATTCGGTGATTTTGGGTTTTGAGGGTGAGGTGGCATCTGTGGTTGCCCTTCTTAATATTCAGTAGCCTTGTTCTTTGCCCTTGTATTGGTTGCCTGTATATTTCCTATTCCCTTTCGACCAAATCCAGAATACTACATGAATTAAAGGCTGCTGCTCCTTCTAAAGAGAAGGGGACGACAGAGGACGAGATGGTTGGACACCGAAGCTACCAATATGAATTTGACCAAACTCTGGCAGGCAGTGGGAGACAAGAGGGCCTGCCTTGCTTTGATCCATGGGGTCACAAAGAGTTGGACATGACTTAACAACGAAGCTCCTTTTCAGGCAAGGGTGGGTGGAAAACAACAACAAAGGAGTGGCTAAAGAGAAGGGGACGACAGAGGACGAGATGGTTGGACACCGAAGCTACCAATATGAATTTGACCAAACTCTGGCAGGCAGTGGGAGACAAGAGGGCCTGCCTTGCTTTGATCCATGGGGTCACAAAGAGTTGGACATGACTTAACAACGAAGCTCCTTTTCAGGCAAGGGTGGGTGGAAAACAACAACAAAGGAGTGGCAGAGTCACCTGGCAGTGGACTCTTTGCTGGAATGTAGGCCTTCGTGGCTCTCCAGTGTTTCCAACACCTAACTTTGCCCCTGTTGCTTAAGGTGACAGATTTAAAAGGCTTACTCCCTATTCAGGTGTTCAGAAGGAAGCTAATCTGAAAGTGTGAGGAGGAAGTTCTCTAGCCCTATTTCCCTGCCGCCGCCATCCAGCTGTTCTTGTCTCCATGTAAAAAAGAGCTTGAAAAGAGCTCCTCTTTTTTCAGGAACTCAGATATTTTGGGACCCACTATTATATGGAGAGATTCAACTTCTGGCATAAGCTTTCCTCTTCAAGATAGTCTCTCTTTCCAAAACAGAATTTTTTTTCCAAAAATATTCCAAAAATGTTTCATGGGGTCACATGGTATATATCCTGCCAGGACTGTTCACACAGCTGTCAGTTCAATCAATACATTTCTTGCTTTTTTAATGCTTCTGTAGCCTGCACATGCCATCTTGTATAAATCAATTCATTTGCCATCCTATTCCTTGGGTTTCCCGCTGCAATAAACATTTTCTTTAAAAAATTGTAAGTGACATATTGCTATTTTCCTGATACTCCAGCCAGTGTGGAATCTGGTGGTATATGACACCTGATATGTTGCCCTTCCTTTTTAATTTTCACTTCCCAATTTTCACTTCTCAGGAGGAGAAAGCGGGTTTTAAAAGACTTGCAAAGTATTTGGAAGAGTAGGGTTTAAAAAGAGAGGAGACCCCTTTCTTTCTTCCCATCAAATAATTAAAAGTAGGAAATGTCAATTTCTCTGCTCAAGCTTTCTTTCCCCTTTCCTTCCTTACACCTGCAAGGGAGTGGGAGAAGGATGTATCTGTCTACCCAATGTAGCAGCTGCAACAACCTATCAATATCACTTAATTTTTTTAAAGAGTAAAACCACAACGGCCAAGTGGCCATAGGGCCCCCAGACTCAGTCTCTTCACAAAGTAAATAAATTGCCAAAAACATTCACCTGGGCTGCAACTATAAGATATGAAGCAATACGTGATCAGTACATTTTAAAACAACCCTACTGGCAAGGAGGGGCAAAAACGGATTGGCTGGCCAAATGAATTGATCTTACCTGTATGTCATGTGAATAGAAATTTATAAAGTGATTTTTAAAACAGCAGAAGCTACGTAACTGTAGTTCTTTCAGTACGTTTGATCTAGCCCTACCATGCCTTTTGGAGAGCAACAACTTCTTCATTCCTAGAATAGGTAGAACAGAACTGTATCTCTAATCAAGTGGAAATTCACTCATAGGGAATAAATAAGATAGTGGAATTATATTTTGCAGTTCTAATCAAGAGGCTGCCATTTTAATACACCTGACACACTGTGAAGGCTTCTTCGCTGCTATATTTGCATTTCTGAATGTCTGTTTCCATGGATCTTACAGTCCTAAGCCTCGGGTGATCACTTGTGAACCTGTGTATTGTGTTAAGGGTAAAAATCACTAAATACACCAGATTTAGAATCAGCCTAGAAACCGAATTGTTAGAATCAAAGCTATCAGACAGACCACTGAGTTCTTCATGTTTTGGACATCAAATGTATTTCACTGAGACTCGTCTAAGATCAAAGTGAACAAATATATCCCTCCAGCGTTTTTTTTTAAAATAGAGAACCAGTGTGTCATAGTAGATCATGTGTTGGACTGTGATGTGGGAAATCTCGATTTTTGTCCCCACTGAATCGAGAACCTCGCTTGCCAACAGTTTCTTGTGTAACACAACAAATTCTTGAATTTTGTTTGATTCCTCACCATTATTGGATCCAAAAAGACCAAATACTGTAGTTCCAGAGTTAAGGATCTATAACAAATGGATGGATTAAAAAGGAATGGAGATTGATAGGTCATTTTAAAATTGTTGAAATGTATTGAACAAAAAAAATTGAATGCAATGTAATCTTTGAAATTAATAAAATACTAAATATAACTGGGTGGAATTCATAAATGCTGTGACCTCTTTTGATGAGAATTTTTCTGCCCTGCTCCCTTGCAGGAGTGGAATAGTGTGTGGAATAGCAGTTGGACTGCTCTAATTGGATTCCAGAGACTCACTTTCAGGTCTTGCTGAGTTATGAACTCATTGGCCAGAATCCTACTGGTGTTCATGTAAGATTGGTGTAGCTTGCTGTGACTATTTTGAAGAAAATGATGAAGCACTGGCCTGTGTCTCCAGTTGTGCAAGTGGACACCTCCAGTCAGATGTCTCCAGTTGTGCAACTGATATGTTTCCTGGCACATGGTCAACTACCGGCAATTAATCATGGTAAATTATGCAAGCCTCAAATATGATTCTTTTTATAGAACAATCTTTGGCTGCTCACTCCTTAGGGTCTGTCCAGACTGGCCACTTTGGGTGAGGGATGGACAGATCAAGCGGCAAAGGCTCTGCTGAAGTTGACAGAAGGAGCAATGTGTCATTTGGTAGACTTCTTGCATCCAAACAGGAAATGGCTGCTTTTAGCCTGATCGGTTGTCATTTAAGGGCTTACCCTGATCATCGGTGGTGGCTCAGGAGAAGGGGATTTTTTTTATGCCACTCCTCTCTCCCTCTGTCAATGCCCTTCTGTTTTTTTCTCTCCCCCCCCCCAGGTTGCCTTTCCACATTCTCCCCCAACTCTCCATCAGAATCTGCAGCCATAATGGCTGTTGAAAGCTGAGGCTAAACAAACTAAACAGTGGGCTAAACAAGGGGTGTGCCAAAAAGAATGCATGCTCTATGCTGGGACAGAAAGCTGCACAACTCCTAAAAAGCTCTTGAATGGAAACAGTGGATCATTCTAAGTATACAGTGGCACCCCACATGACAACGATAATCTGTTCCGTTAAAATCGCTGTACAGCGAAATCGTCAAGTCAAAAGCCTTTCCCCATTGGAATGCATTGAAACCCAGCTTAATGCATTCAAAATGGGGAAATTACCTCATCGTCCAGATAAGATCCTCCATAGGGAAGCCATTTTGAGAGCACCGATCAGCTGTTAAAATGGCTGTCCTGTGAAGCATGTGTCTGGAAAACACAGCACAGCCATTTTAGGAACCTGATGATCAGCTGTAAAAATCGTCATCTTGCGAACAGTTCGCGAAGCACGGACCTAATTGTCATCAATGAAAATCCCCCATAGGAAACATCGTTTTGCGATCACTATAGCGATCGCAAAAAAGTCAGCGTCCTGCGGATTCAACATCATGCGGGGTCATCGTCATACGGGGCACCACTGTATACACTGTATGCACTTGCAAATCAGAAACTATTAAATTACCAAAAGAGGGCTACACTTGATTATGTCAGCCATGGCCTTTGGGGGGAGGGGTGTCACAATGTTTACAACAAGATTTCAGCCACAGAGCGAATAGGAGGGAAGGCTGCACTGATTAATTGTAGGGCTGGCCCAGAATTCAATTCACCCTTAATCAGCAACAAGTCACTTAAGTTAAGATTACAAATTAGAACCTGAGATAAGTTGAAAGTCTCCTGTTCTCACCCTGTAGTGACATGCTCCACTAAGCCCCAGATGAAGGGTTCAAGAGATCCTAGCATGAAGTACTAGAGCAGTGGTGTCCAACCTTGGCCCTCCAGATGTTCTTAGACTACAGCTCCCAGAAGCCTTCACCACCACCTCTGATGGCCAGGATTTCTGGGAGGTGAAGTCCAAGAACATCTGGAGGGCCAAGATTGGACACCACTGTACTAGAGGATCTTGGCAGAGAAAGGGAGGGGAAAAGTTGGGTATTTCCAGAGGTCTCCTTGTATTGCCAGCTCTCCTTTAAATTTATTGTATTTTTACTACCAGCGTTGAGGAGAGGTGCCTTTGGCTTTTTCTGCTTCATGTCCAAAAATAATATAGATGGCTTTTGGTACTAGAAGTAGTAGAATTCATTTTAGGAGGTCATGACAATCATACAATATTTGGTTGCTGGTTCTCATTTGTGTGTTCTTAATTTCTTCTCCATTTTCTCCCTCCTGTATTCTGGGAGTTGCATTCTAGAATCACAAATCTGTATTTCTCTATCCTCCAGCGTTTTCACAAATGAGATTTTTTCCCAACCCCATGATCCATAAATAGGCCCTTTGTCTGACCTACCTCACAGGGTTTGCTGTGAAAATGAAGTGGAAGAGCTACAAATGGCAGCTTGAACTCAATGGAGGAAAGGTGAGGTAGAATGCAGCTGAAAAATAATAGGCGGGATCACAGATAACGTTGATTCTAACCTAAAAATGCAACCATGTTTTGAAGAAGGTCAATCTGTAGACAACCTAGTAGAACAACCTCCATATGTGAATAGAAGTTTGGTTTTAAAACATGAAAGGCCTTGATGGTTGCTGAGGAACCTGGGAAACAGTCTAGGGTGAGAAACGAACTCTCACAATAATGCAGCCAAAAATAATAATAGATGGAATGACAGATGTGATTGGATGGCTTTAAATCTCTCCCTCCTGTATTCTGGGAGTTGCATTCTAGAATCACAAATCTGTATTTCTCTATCCTCCAGCGTTTCCACAAGGCTGGCAGCTGCACTATTCAAATCTCCTTCTGGAAAGTTGGAGTGATACTCTGCTTTTCTCAAAATCAAGTCACAGAGGCTGTCATGGAGTGGCTGATAATATTTGCGCAATAAAAAAACTATTTTAGGCTGGAAGGGTATGAACCTTTGCTAAAACCTTTTTCACTGTTAAAACATACAAACCCAAATCAGGGTCCTAAATTGGTCTCAAAGGTTAAATGCTTCTCCTTGCAGATTCTCAGAAGAGATGTCCAGAAATATTTCCAAGGAAGAAATAAAAGTAAATCCCCATTCTGGTCCGGTGTAAACATCAACTCTATAGTAATAAACGTATGGATGTTATCATCAGTCAATCTTTACTATTACGATCATAGATCGGCCAAATTTTAATGCACTAAGGATATTAATGGAGCAAAGATCTATACAGGCAGTCTCTCTGCGAACTGAATATCCAGTTTTAGTGGTAAACTTAACTGAAGATAATATTAAAATACAACAGCTAGTCTTTAAGGAACCACAACGTTTTTCTCTTCTTCTCTTTTTGTCGTTTGATTTATTTGACAGCAGATATATTTAATTGAGAATTAATCAGCCACAACGTTTTTCTCTTCTTCCCTTTTTGTCGTTTGATTTATTTGACAGAGCAGATATATTTAATTGAGAATTAATCAGATGCGTCCTCGTGAAACATGCCAGCACATCGAATTTTGCTACCTTCTCGGTGATTTCCTCGTTATCGTCATCATCATCATCATCGCAACCGCTGGAAGAAATTATGGGCTTTTGTTTACGCATTCGCGAAAGAGACTGCGATTGGTCTTCCAGTGCTTGCGGCTGCAATGAGAGGGTAGAGAGGGGCGATTGGACTACAACCCCCATAATTCCATAGGCAGAAGCGCTTCCTGAAGAATTTTGGGAATTGTAGTAAAAAACGTTTGAAAATCCTGGGATTAGCCATGCCAAGCTCTGTCCCTTTAAGGGTCGTCCTGCTGGCTCCTCCCTCCGAAGGCAAAGAGTTTTGCCTGGTCAAAACAGAGGCAAGCAGTGAAAACTTTCAGCTGTCATGGAAGTGTTGCAGGTGGTCTGGAGCTTGCTGGGCTTTTTGCTCGCGGTCTCCCTCCTGTCTTTCGGTCTTTACTGTTTCTACATCAAAACGGTCCATTGGAGATATGATCACATCCCGGGGGCCCCGCGGGCCAGGTAAGAAAATAAATGGGCATTTTTTAAGCAGTATTGCAGTAGTAAAACTCCACTTGTCTCAAAACCCAGCATCCTGGTTCCTTTGGATGCTCCCCTCTTCTCCCCAGATAGAAATGAGAAAATTACCTGTAGAAAATGAGCGGTTTTATTGTGCCTGCGTGCGAGTGTTTGCTTTTATTGGGTCAGGAGGGCCACTGTGACCTTCCCTGCTTGCAGAATGAAATTCTATGGTAGCTTTAATTCGTTTTATTGCATTACCTTAACAGACCACAGAATTTATAAAGCTAGAATTGCAGGGTCTTTTTTCTAACGTGTTTTGAGACCTGATCTCTTTTCCTGCCTTATATTTCTTAAGAGGATCCATACCATCGCAGCTTGTCAAACTGCATACTTTACAACAACTCTGTAATGTTGCTTTTTGGAGATGGCAGCATATGTACCGATATTTATCTTATTGGTCCATCTTCTAGCTGTTTCCTCAAGTTTTGTCCTTCACTGATTTTGCATTGCATTTCTGCACATCAAAGAACTCAAAGGTTATTTTTGAATTTTAAACAGACAGAATGAGACCTGAGAAAGACCATGAACTCCTTCGGTTGGCATCTTTCTTGCCTTTTTCAGACCTGGTTATCCAACTCCTTGCAAGAGTTTCCAGGTAGAAAACAAGCAAAGAGGTTTACCGTTCCTTTCTTCTGGAGGCACTCTAAGATGGGAGCTTGCATAAGGCCACACAGCCAGACTTTTCTTCCAGGAGACACAGTAGGAATTGAGCTTCCAACCAAACAGGAGGCTATATAGCTAACATGCCTCAGATGTAGCTAACATAAACAATAGTTTTTCTCTTGGTTTTCTACATTCGCTTCCCTTGCCCAGACAAGTTTCAGTATCTGATTGGTAGAGCAAAGGAGGACAGTTCCATATCTAGCAATGAAAAGACACTGACAGGTGTTCTGGGTTTGGGGTTTGTTTGTTTGTTTTTTGGTCTTCTTTGCCAAATTGTTTTGTTAAAAGGAGAGAAAGTGGGGTGGTACCTCAAGACTATAGGAATTTCTGTTCCATTTAATTATTTTTCCTTCCATTTTCATCTGACTTTTTAAAGTAGGGTGTCCTCCTCACAGTTTAATGAAATCTTCCTTTTAAAAATCTTGCAGTTTTTTCTTTGGTCATATGCCAGTCCTGTGGGAAAGCTTGAAAAGTAAGAAACTGGCTCACAATATCTTTCTGCAATGGTAAGTTGTTGTTTTTTTCAAAAATCAGGCATCTTGAAGTAAAAGATTACAAAGTGCAGCGTGGCTGGCTTGTATTGTGTCTTGGCTTTGCCCTTATTTATTTAGCCTTTAGATTTTTCTAATCATGGGGTGTTGGTGACAACTTTTTTGCCCCAAGAGGGAAAACAATTTTTTTCCTGACTTCTCAGCTCCTGCAGTGTCTGTGGGCTGCGTCACCTGAGAATTTCCTTTTCCACAGCTTGCATTGCATCTTAATGCACAGTACCTGAAATCCAGCAGGAGGTCGCTACTAGAGTAGGCCCATTGAATCTGGTGAGTTCATGCCTGTGTAAATGCATTGATTCAATGGGCTAATCTATTTGTGTCTTACTCCTGGATTTCAGCCAGTATAAACTTCAAGGACTTGAGGTCAGCTTGGACACTTTTCTTTGCCATTTTAGATATACGTAATAAAGATATAACCCCAGTAAGGATTCAGGGATTTGTTTTTGTGCCAACACAGATATCTCACTTATATTTTTAAATTTTGAGAATCACTTCAGTAAAAGCAGCAAAGAGCTGAGAACCATGAGTGTGATGGTATCATGATGGTTAAAGAAGTTATCCTCAGCAGGAGACTGATTTAATATGTCTGTTTTCTCTTAAATGTTGGGACATTTTCTTTGTCTGAGTGAGGAAATATTCTAAATTGGGGCTTTCTGGCTTCTGAGGTGGAAAATTCAAATGGTGCTCTCCAGCGTAAATAAAGTCTGTCTGTCTCTCTAATCCAAGAGGTACCGTAATTGAAGTCCAACTTTGTTTCAGGAAACAAAATGTCTTAGCTAGCTCTGTGTGCAAACAGACAATATAAACAAATTGTTAAATTTTAAACTGTTTTATCTATACCCATTTCTGTTTTCATAGGGCTGAGGAATATGGGCCAGTCTTACGTTTTAACGCCTTTCATAGAGTGTCCTTATTGGTAGTGAGTCCTGAAGCAGTAAAGGTATGCTATGGAATATTGATTTGAGGGTGACATGTAAAATGGCAGCAGCGGGTCTGGAAATCCAGAAGGTTTTTCATTGTTCCCTGCATTCTTGGTTCCATTGTTCATTGACCGTGTACAGTTTTTAAATTGAGTTGTCTGGGCTGAGCCCAGAAATGCTACTACCAGAATTATTGTCCTTGCTGACTGCAGGATCCTGGAAGCCAATGTCTATAAATTAGGGGTGTCTTTTTTAACTTTGACCCAAATATTGAGATGGGTGACCCCTCTGTGACTATGAGGGATATGCACAGCATGTCAGTAATGCTGATAAAATGATCTGAAGCCTAGTTAGATTGTTCCTCTGGCAAAAATAAAAAATAACCAAATCTGGCTTCACCCTTCTGTTTCGGATTCATAAAACCATTTGTTTTTCCAAAAGGTGAACTCTGAAAGAAAAGCGTGTATTTGAATGCAGTGAGGGTATTAAGAGTATCAAACCTCCCTTTAAAAAATATGTTCCTTCACCTTACATAAAGTTGTGTCATGCTTCTCAAACAATGCTTCCTGTGGCCTAGTTAGCCATAGATGTTCCAGAACCAAAGTCTCTGCTAATCCCATCCTATGAGGGTAATGGGCTTCTGTCCAATTTAGTAAATCTGAGCTTTCTGTGAACTGGACATTTATCGGCTTTCTGACTACCCAGATCTATGGACATCACTTGAGCCCAGATTATGCCTTGAAAACCAGGTGTCAGGTATGACTTTATGGCACATAACACACACACACCAGTGGAATAGGGTTTCAGCCATCCTTCAACATCAGTATCTTTTACAAAATGTTGTCCTATGTGATGTTGGTTGACGTCTGTTGTGATGTTATTTATATCTGATGTGGACTAACCAGAGGACTGAATTCTAGGAATACTTGATGTTACCACAGTACCCAAAGGACCGAATTACATATGGCCGTCTTTTCAATATGTTTGGTGTAAGGTGAGTCAAAGTAGAGCTAAATGACATGTGACTTGTTGGATTAAATGACTGACCAGTATTCAAGAAGTTTGTGATTCTTAAGGTTATTGGAAATGTATTTCATACACAGGAAACATGCTCATGTGGAAAGTATTTGGAAATGCTACACAATAGAGAAGGGCCCGAACCACAATAGAAACAGACACAAACCTTTCCCCGCTTGCCTGGCCAATGACCCACTCACCAGTTGGAGCGCATTCCTCTCCTCCTTCTCTTCTTCAGCATGTTTGTCCAGTCCCTGGCAGCGGTATGGGTTTGCTTGTCCTGCCTCCTTGTCTCAGTGGGTGACCACCCAAGGAGTTGGGACAAGGAGGCCCATGGTCCTTCAAGGGACTGGTCAAGCAGCTGAAGGGGAAGAGAAGCAGGCACTGGCTGGTAAGAGGGAGAAGGGAATGTGCGACACCATAGGTGCTGCGCGTATGAATCAGCATGAACATCTCAAACGATGTTCGTGCCCATCTCTGCTACACAATTTGGATATGAATCGATGAGAATTATATATATTTATGAGAACAGATTCTTAATTTCTTTTTTTTAATATCAGTATTGTATAATATAGGAGGCAGGATTGATACCACAACTCAAAAGGCCAAGGTCTTGTGGATGTTTCTCTGCATTCCAATTGCTGATGGAATGAATGTAAATCAGTGCCTCTCACTCTCAATCCAGAATAATGTTCAGAAATGATACAATTATTGATGATACCAAATGTCACGGGAAAGTCCAGTAGAATTAGTCAACACACACTCTTTCTTCCTCCACAGATTATTAATCACTACTATTTGTGATTCCAAATTGTTTTTGAAACTACATCAGAACAGGTCCGGTTTCAACACCGAACCAAACCTGAATGGATGACTTAATTCATTTCATTTAGAAAAGCTTGCTCTCAACATTTTTCTTGCCCTCAAAAATGGAACATTAGAAATTACAGTGGGGTCTTGACTTAAGAACGGCTTGAGTTAAGAACATTTTGACTTAAGAACCACTCTCATAGGAAAATATTGACTTGACTTACATACTTAGATTTGAGTTAAGAACTAAAAAAACCCACGTGGGAGGCAGGGAAAGTGCAAAATTTGAACTTTCAGTTAACTGTTGGCCAGTGAAAAGGGTGCCTGTCTGCTTCCTCACGCCTCCCAGCGTTTAGAGAGTGGATTGGGAGTCTTCAGACTGCCTGGTACTGCCTGGACTGTATTTTCCCTGCCTTCCCTGAACCTTTCTTGACCTAAGAAAAAAAGAAACAAAATATCCCCCTCTAGTGGTCGTAGGCAGAATAGCATTTTCCCATTAGTTTCTATGGATGGAAAAGAGCAGATACGGATCAAATGGGTTTCAATGCATTCCTATGGGAAATGCAGATTTGACTTGAGGACATTTTGACTTGAGAACCGCCTTCCAATACGGATTAAGTTCTCAAGTCAAGACCCCACTGTATCTCATGTAGTGAGAAAATAATGGTATTTTTAAAATTATTTTCAGAAAGTTTTTTTATTATTTACATCATGGTTTTAGAGGACTAGAATTAATCAATCAGTTCTTGCCTTGGTTTACCTAGCCAAAACAGGGCCTAGGATGAGTATGGTTAGAAGAAACTAGAAAATGGGCAAGAACTAGAATACTGTATACAAGAAGTGGAAGAAGGGATCACCTAAGCCTTATGGTCTCTTCCTTGTAAATCATAACTTTGTGTGTCAATATGACGACGTGCCCTAAAACAGTACATATTTCCTTTGCTTTTTTAGATTTTTAGGGAATAGCCTGGTAACTGATCGTGACTATGACCATTGGCACAAGCAGCGGAGAATTATGGATCCGGCGTTCAGTCGAACGTGAGACAAACACTGAGAGTTGCAGATGAATTTTAAAAGAGATTGTGTGTTTTTCAATCCGTGTTGGTGACGTAGCCACTTAGTCCTAAATGTTTTCATATTGAAAGAATGGATAAGCAAAGGGCTACCTTTTTGCCTCATTCCTTTCATTGGGTTGGCAACTTACATGTTGTGTGTAGTGTTTATGCATTTTGCTCACAGTGGGTAGTATTACTGTTTTTGTCTTATGATTGTTGAGCCAAAATCAAATTGGTTATTTACACTGATCTAAGTTCAATGAGATAAATGGCCATGGCCAATTGCTCCTTATTAGCAAGTTGCTGCTGTTATTTATAGAAATATTTTAACCCACCTTTCTCCTTAAAAAGGACTCAAAATGGCTTATTTTTCATTATATGAATAAGTATACAACACTAAAAGGACCAATGAACCCAAAAATATAAGCAAAACTAGAGTACATTCAATGCACTGAGGTACAACAATCCATTTTTTTAAAAAAAACCCTCGGTTCCCATTCACTCAGCGAAAGCTTGCCTGAAGAGAAGGACAATAAAGATGGAGCCTGTCTAGCCTCTTGTGGGAGGGAGTTCCAGAGTGTGGGACCAGTGACAGAAAAGGCTCTCTCCCGTGTCCCCACCAAATGCATCTGTGAAGGTGGCAGGACCAAGGCGAAGGTCTTGCCTAATAATGTTAACTCTTGAGCAGGTTCAAAATGTATTCCCCTTTACATGCTGTTCTGGCATCTAATTTATAAACATGGGGTTTTCACATATGAACTAACTTCTTGATATACCACAAAACCCTTTCTTATGTAGATTGTATTAATAACACTGTTTATTTTATATCCCTTTATCTTGTGATTGTATGGCCAGAATGAAACCGGTTATTTACACTGATCTAAATGCAGGTAGAAATTGCCATGGTCAATGGCTTCACGTTAATGAGCTGCTGATTGTATTCCCCATTGCGTGCCATTGGGGCATATTATTTATAAACCCTCATTTTTCACATATGAACCAATGTCTTGATATACCACAAAACCCTTTCTTGAATATTGTGTATTAATAACACAGTTACCTGATTGACTTGATGGGACCTTTTAATGACCAAGCAGAAGAGCTTATGAAGGAGCTGCAGAAAAAAGCAGATGGAGAAACCCAAGTGGATGTGATGAACCTGCTGAGACGGGTGACGCTGGACATCATTGCAAAGGTAGTGTCTGGAAGAATGTGTATTTTTCTTATGGCGGAAAGAGTGCATCAGAAAAAGAAGGCATTTTAAGGATATTTGGCATACATATTAACACAGTGCAGTGACCTCATACTGAACTTATGCCTATTAAATAATAGTAGCTCCTTCCAGCTATTCTAAAGATTTGTAACTAGCTATTCTTTCTAAATAATGCAAAACAAGAAGATGTAATGTGAATTAAAGTTTGTTCTTTATAGTATCTCTGCATTCTGGCTGAGCTGCCGACATTTAATTTTCTTTTCTCTTTAAATAATTGGAATATTTGTTTTATGAAATGAAAACATATTGTAAACAAAGGAACAACAAACAGAACAACAAATGAATAAACAAATAAAGGACAATAATTGTACACGAACAAAATTGAAACAATGTGCTCCCCCCCACACTGAGATGAAAAGGTCTAGTTCTCATGGAGAAGTAGACCTTTTCCTTTATTTCAAGGATTCCCATTCCCCTTCCAAAATTGTAATGTTTCTTTTGACGGCATGCCGGCAGCCGGCATTTACATTTAAAACTCTGTACTTCTGTATTGACCTCTTGAAATATTTGTCAGATTGTGCCCCTGAGATAGAACAACATGTGTATTTTTATGCTTTTTTAAAAAAAAAATAGCAGTGCTCAGCTCCTCAGGTTTGTCTCCTCTTCCTTTATATTATCAGGTAGCTTTTGGCCTAGAATTGAACACTCTGCACGATGACCAGACCCCTTTTCCACATGCAGTGAACTTGGTCATGAGAGGACTAGGCGAAGGACGCAATCCGTTTTTCAAGGTCAGGGCAGGATGCTCGCCTCTGAATTCATTCTACACAATGCACATTTCAAGGTGTTGGTGATTCTTTTGGGATGTAATGTTTTTAAAATAAACACTTATTTGTGAAGGGAGATGCAGTAAAATCAGTGGCAGTGGCCCCCACTCATTAATAGGCCAAGGCGTATCATTTCCCACCCTATCCTGAGGTGATTTTGAGTTAGTGGGTCCTTAATGCTGGTGCTAGCTGTGCTAGGAGAGAGGTCCTCTTCCCTGTTTTGGGTCCGTCCTGGAGCCTCTCTGCCTGTCTCTGTCCTACTTCCTATGGTTAATGTGCAAAAATGGAAGCTGCTGTGGTGCTTTCTGGGAGTTGTAGTCATGTTGCCCTGTAGGCTGTAAAGAAACTGCTTTCCAAAGAACTACGAAATCCAGAAAGCATTGTCCAGAATTTGGGGAGTTGAGGCTTGATCACACATGCCAAAAGAACCCCAATTATAAGATTCTTCTCATATTTAAAAAGTTTTATAAGTTTCCATTCACATGATGCACAGACCACTGATTCATTTGGCCAGCCAGTTTTTCCCCTCTTCACTGGATCTTTTCATTGCTTCAATCCTTATTGTCTTGGCATGTATGAATGTTGCTGTCCGATTTATTTAATTTGCAAATGGGACAGGTTTTTTGCAACACTGTGGCCACTTTTACCCCTCTAAAATTTTTTTTAAAAAAAGTTTATTGATAAATCATTTTTTTACCCATGGAAAGCAGCCACAGCAGCATAAGCACATTGATCAGAAGGAGACGACCTTCTCCCCGCCCCTTTCAGGATTTAAGGAAGGAAAGAAGGCTTGAGCCGTTTCCTGCTTCAACTTGTTTGAGGGGAGAAAGAAAAACTTTTTAAAAACTGTGCTCTTCACAATACTTTCAAATCTTTTAAAACCTGCTTCTTCCTCGTCCTGATGCTATTCAAAGAGGGAAAGTAAAATCAAAACCAAAAACTGATAGGAAGAGATATGCAGAAAAATAAGGGAAGCGGGGAGTAAAGGAGGGAAGGGAAAAGGGGAGGAGGAGAAAAATCGAGGGTAGGGGAGAAAACAGAAAATGGAGAAAGGAATTGGGAATTTAAATTTTTAAAAGGAGGGATATTTAAAAAGGAGGAAAAGGAAATGATTCAAATGGTCTGTGCAATTAGGGTCAAAGAAGTCTGAATGGGAAGTCCTTAGAAGTTATGTCTGAGGAAGGATTGCGATGTCTGCCATGGAATATGCTACTTTCTACTCATCTTGTCGTAGTCTTTTTATCTTTTAGTCTTTTAATATTTTAAATACATACATTGTGAGAGGTCACTGGTAAATTCATATGCCAGTTTTTTAAATTATTTTTATGCTCATCTTCTTTTAATGACAACACTTTTCTTTTTAGTATATGCCAAGGAATAGAAAAATAGTGCAAGAGATTCGGGAGAGTCTGAAACTGCTCCGTCGGACTGGGAAGGAGTGTATCGAGCGGAGGCGCAAAGCCATTGAGAATGGAGAAGAGATCCCCATGGATATTCTGAGCCAGATCTTAAAGAGTGCAGGTAAGAGACTCCTTAGGAATGAGAAGAGGCTGTGTCATTTTTGCATGTGTCATTTTCTATCAAAAGCCTCCGGGATATCACAGAATAGTTTACAGCCTTTAGTTTGTCTCATGACCAAATTATCTGTTATGTACTAAAAAGCATTAAGAAAGGAAGGAGGAGTATTTTTGAAAATTATACTTTAGACATGCTTAAATTGACTACAGTACTTTGTTTACCATTTCTCAGAGTGGTATTTGTCTAATTCTTTTTAGTATTTATATGCTTTTTGTTTTTATCTGTAAATATTGTCTTCATGCAAAGATGAACATGATAAAGGACAAAAATGGGAGAGAGCTCACAGAAGCAGAAGACATCAAGAAGAGGTGGCAAGAATACACAGAGGAATTATACCAGAAAGATTTGGATATCCCAAACAACCCAGATAATGTGGTTGCATACCTTGAGCCAGACATCCTGGAGAGTGAAGTCAAGTGGGCCTTAGAAAGCTTGTCTAACAGGGCCAGTGGAGGTGATGGCATTCCAGTCGAACTATTTAAAATCTTAAAAGATGATGCTGTTAAGGTGCTACATTCAATATGCAGCAAGTTTGGAAAACTCAACAGTGGCCAGAGGACTGGAAAAGATCAGTCTACATACCAATACCAAAGAAGGGCAGTGCCAAAAAATGCTCCAACTACTGTACAATTGCACTCATTTCACACACTAGCAAGGTTATGCTCAAAATCCTACAAGGTAGGCTTCAGCAGTATGTGGGCTGAGAACGACCAGAAGTACAAGCTGGATTCCGAAGGGGCAGAGGAACTCGAGACCAAATTGCTAACATGCGCTGGATTATGGAAAAAGCCAGAGAGTTCCAGAAAAATATCTACTTCTGCTTCATTGACAACGCAAAAGCCTTTGACTGTGTGGACCACAGCAAACTATGGCAAGTCCTTAAAGAAATGGGAGTGCCTGACCACCTTATCTATATCCTGAGAAACCTATACGTAGGACAGGAAGTTAGAACTGGATACGGAATCACTGACTGGTTCAAAATTGGGAAAGGAGTACGACAAGGCTGTATATTGTCCCCCAGCTTATTTAACTTATATGCAGAATACATCATGCGAAAGGCAAGACTGGAGGAATCCCAAACCGGAATTAAGATTGCCGGAAGAAATATCAACAACCTCAGATATGCAGATGATACCACTCTGATGGAAGAAAGTGAGGAGGAATTAAGGAACCTTGTAATGAGGGTGAAAGAGGAGAGCGCAAAAAATGGTCTGAAGCTCAACATCAAAAAAACTAAGATCATGGCCACTGGTCCCATCACGTCCTGGCAAATAGAAGGGGAAGATATGGAGGTAGTGACAGATTTTACTTTCTTGGGCTCCATGATCACTGCAGATGGGGACAGCAGCCACGAAATTAAAAGACGGAGAACAAACCTGTCAATTCTAAAGGAAATCAACCCCGAGTGCTCACTGGAAGGACAGATCCTGAAGCTGAAGCTCCAATACTTTGGCCATCTCATGAGAAGAGAAGACTCCTTGGAAAAGACCTTGATGTTAGGAAAGTGTGAAGGCAAGAGGAGAAGGGGACGACAGAGGATGAGATGGTTGGACAGTGTCATCGAAGCTACCAGAATGAAGCTGGCACAACTCCAGGGGGCAGTGGAGGATAGGAGGGCCTGGCGTGCTCTGGTCCATGGGGTCACAAAGAGTTGGACACGACTAAACGACAATTGTCTTCTAATTTTGTAAGCCGCCTTTGAGTAAAATGAGTAAAAACTCATTGTTTTTAGCTTTAAATGTTGTCTTCTAATGATGTAAGGTGCCTTGGATACTTTTTAAGGAGAAAGGCAGGAGTCTCTGCCTTGGATACTTTTAAGGAGAAAGGCAGGGTAAAAATATTTTAAATAAATAAATTTCTGCTCAGAAAAAAAATAGCAATAGGACTATGATCCAGAATGCAAATTCTGAAGTTGCTCTTCTGTCTTGTACCTCTGACATTGGCTTCACCAGGGATGTCCGGTGCTATATTTATACGTATCTAATGTCTATAATGTGAAGAGGTGTGGCAATCTTGATCTCTGTTTCCTTTATTTGGCAGCTCAGGAAGGGGACTGTGATGAAGAAACGATCCTCGATAATTTTGTCACTTTCTTTTTTGCAGGTTTGTAGACCTTCTTACATTAAATTCATTACATGTCAATTAAGTTCTCTTCTTTACATTTCCTCCGTGAACTCAAAGCAGTGTAAATGGCTTTCCTCCTCTATATCCATACATCAGCCATCTGTGATAGGTCAGGCAGCAAGCTGATAGACACTGACTGGTCTAAGATTGCTTGGTGTTTTTATGGATTCATAGGGAGCAGAACCTGGACCTCTCAAGTTCCAGCCTAGCTCTCTAATTTCTATAGTCTTCAGGTCTCAGATTCAACAAGAAAGATCTACCGCTAGAAGGTCTTCAGTTGCATATTGGATGAACAAGGCTCTCCATGTTTGTCTGCTTATTTAAACTGTTTGGTCCTGGTCCTCAGCCAAAAAAGGGCTCCCAGATCAATTTACATATGTACAAGAAAAGAATACCCCTACTTACCCAGCAAATAGGGATGTCCTACTACACCAAGTGTTTTTTTCGCATTTTGCAAATATGCCCTTCACACACTTGATTGGACACCCAGCTCAAGAACAAGCACATGACATTTCACAAAATGTCAGGTGGCTCATGCAGTTTTCATTCAGCACACACTAAATCCAACAGAATGACAGAGGAGGAAAATGAGTCATACTGTGTGAAAAATTATGATTGTGTGTTGCAGTATTGAAAGATAATTTGTTATATACAGCTTGATGTGCTGCTTATTTTCTTTTTACTACAAAGTAGGATCCATAATGGCATAAACCTGAAAAATTATTTTTAAATTGTCTCTAAAATTTCTTTTAAAAGGAACTTCTGAAAGTAACTGGAATAGGTTGCTCACTATATCACTCAAAGTCATTCCTGCTTTTACCATGTAACTTTGCTATATCCTTGTTACTTTTTGACCCAAACAATTAATGAAATGTAACTATAGTAGAGATGGGCACGAACTTTGGTTCGAAACCTCCTTCTCTTCAGTCGTTCAACCAGTCCCAGAAGGAGAGCGTGGTTACCTTCTCTGCCTCATCTGGCATCCAGTCACTCAGACGAGAAGGTAGGACAGGGATTCCTGCAGCGTTGCCTTTTTGTAGGGAGGCTGATGGCACAGGCGGAGGGGGGAATCATACACTCCTACTGGAACTGGTTGAATGCCAAAAGAGGAGGAGAAAGCTGCATACACCAGCTGGCGAGTGGGGAATCCGGTTGGGGAGTGAGGGAAGAGAACATATAGTGCTGGTCTGATGAACCAGCACAAACCTCTGGACCAAGGTTCATGTGAATCTCTAACTGGAGTCCTTGTAACTCATGGCTTTCAAGCTCTGAGGGAAGGTAAAAAAAACAGGTCGTTTCACCTGGCTAGCAGAATGACCCTGTTTTCCATCTGGCCTGCTGGTGGTGATAGTAGCTGAGTAAGTGAGAGTCCATGTATCTCCTGTCAATACTGAGAATGTCAAACCAGCTGGATTTGTGTTTCGAGAAGGTAAGACAGGGATTCCTGCAGTGTTGCCTTTTTGTAGGGAGGCTGATGGTACAGGTGGAGGGGGGAAATCACACGCTCCTACTGGGACTGGTTGAACGCCGAAAGAGGAGGAGAAAAGCTGCACACACCAGCTGGCGAGTGGGGAATCCGGTTGGGGAGCGAGGGAAGAGAACATGAGGCACATATAGTGCTGGTCTGATGAACCAGCACAAACCTCTGGACCAAGGTTCATGTGAATCTCTAACTGGAGTCCTTGTAACTCATGGCTTTCAAGCTCTGAGGGAAGGTAAAAAAAACAGGTCGTTTCACCTGGCTAGCAGAATGACCCTGTTTCCCATCTGGCCTGCTGGTGGTGATAGTAGCTGAGTAAGTGAGAGTCCATGTATCTCCTGTCAATACTGAGAATGTCAAACCAGCTGGATTTGTGTTTTGACATAAATCAGAATGTCTGTCTTCATTCAGAATTCCTACCAAAAAAAAGCAAAGCAAAGTGTATTGCTCATATACTGCCTCATAGCACTTAAAGCACTCTTTGAGCAGGCTACACATTGTTGTCCCACTCCCCACAAGTTGGGCACTCAATTTACTGACCTCGGAAGGACAAAATTCGTATTGAACCTTGAGCTGGCTACCTGGTATTGAATGCGGGTTATGAGCAGCGTTGTGGCTGCGGTACTGCATTGTAACCACTATGCCATATGTGTCCTTGTTTTGTTTCTGTTGTCAGAGCTGGATTGTGGGTCATATTGAAGCTTTACTCGTATCAAAATCAGATTACAGGAAAGTAGGTTTTAGGTTGTAGCAGACATTGAAAGAGCATTTCTGCATCATTTCTATATTGATATTTTAGAAACTCATCTGAGATGAGTTTCGAAAATCTATTCTTTTGAGGGCTTAAAGGAAGAGGCAAACACCTGGAGATTCTGTTTGTTGTAGTCCAAAAAAGTAAAAAACTTTCCTAAGATGTGGTCCTGCAGGATGAAGAGAGTCACAGTTGGATATGTCTGAGGACATCGGGAAGGATGAACGTATCCTGCCCTTTGTTCTGTATTGTTGTAGTTTGTCAGTAAGCCAGTGGGCTGGAAGAAGCCAAAAGTGAAACAATTCCAAAGTCATTTAACATTGAGAATTGGGAGGGACACTTCCGCTGTTTAGTAGTTGAATGGAGACATCCTGTGAGGCTAGGAAAGAATGCTGGCTGCATCCAAGGACAGACTGAGTGGGCATCCCTTTTTGCCAAAGCAAAATGAGCACCGAGGGGGAAATAGTCTGGCATTTCCTTTCAGCAAAACAGGCTCACCGAACCACGAACCAGCCCAGTTGTTGTTTTTTTCCTGGTTTGTGGTTCACTTTGTGTCCATCGCTACTGCCTGAACCCAAGGACAGACTGACTATCATCAGAGGTGACGGGACTAGTCTTGATGGGCCAATGGTTTGACTCACTGTTGAGGCTGGGTTCTGTGCAACTGTATAAATTTACCCTGAGAAAGAGAAGAATGAAGCAAACATGGTAATACTCTTCATGTACTCAAAGAGCTGCTCCATAGAAAGGGCTGAAGACCTGTCCCACGGGAGGGCTGGTTTAAATCATAGGAAGGTAGACTGCAATTTAATATTGGGATAAATCTCTTTATGCAGCTTAGCCATAGAACCAGTTACATGTAGGTGTAGTGGGCTCTGCTTCTCACACTAATTTTTGGCATTGACATTTGTCATCAGAGGCAACTTAAACTTCTGTCAGACCTCAGAAATATTTTAAGAGAAGACTTATTTGTTTTACAACCTAGCTTCATTTAATCTTTTATTTTATTTCTTTACCTCTTCTTTTTTACTCAACTAGATTTTGTATCCCTCAGGTCATGAAACCACTGCCAATCAGTTATCTTTCACCGTAATGGAACTGGGACGGCATCCAGAGATTGTTGCAAAGCAAGTAAACACTTTATTCTTTCCTGGACCTAATGATGATGATGCTGTTTGTGGTTCCTCATCCCTTCTGAGATCTTTGGACCACAGCACATGAGCAGCCCTGATCGGTTTTGAGTACTTGTTACATTTGCCCAATAAACACGAGAATTTGGTTAACTGGGTGATCCTGGTTCTGGTCACCAGCAGTACACAAGTCCATTAACCCCAGCTAGCCTGCCCTATGGTGATGGAGTCATGGGATTAATTCCTCAGCATCTGGAAAACCATAGGTTCTCCACTTCTGGACTTGGCTGGAGAGAGTAAAAGATAAGTTAGGACATATTTCCAAAATGGATCTTCTGTTCAACCTACGTTGCAACTATCTTTGCCCCAAAAGTGCTCACCAGAATGGTGACTGTTTTGAATCTGATATTCATAATTCCCAGATTCTCTGTCTGAGTTAAGTTGCCATTTAATCTCTTGGATGATAAATCCGGGACTTCTCAAATACAGAAGTTGTCTTTTTAACACTGATGATTAATAGCCACTAAACTAAAATTTTTCTTCTGCTTCTGTTTCTTAGACTTCAGGCTGAAGTGGATGAGGTTATTGGTGTGAAGACAGACATTGCCTATGAAGATCTTGGAAAGCTTGAATACCTATCACAGGTACTGTCTCTTGACCACAGGTAACCCAGAAGAATAAGCCTTGCTGAACCATCCCGCAGTGACAAAAATAATAAAGGTGTTCCCGAAACAGAGCTTGCAGCATGATGTTTGAGAGCATTTAAAACAATGTCTCAGTGTGACTTGGTGTGAAGACAGACATTGCCTATGAAGATCTTGGAAAGCTTGAATACCTATCACAGGTACTGTCTCTTGACCACAGGTAACCCAGAAGAATAAGCCTTGCTGAACCATCCCGCAGTGACAAAAATAATAAAGGTGTTCCCGAAACAGAGCTTGCAGCATGATGTTTGAGAGCATTTAAAACAATGTCTCAGTGTGACTTTGCTGTAGTATAAACAAAACACAGAAAGACTTTATAGGATTCCCATGCTGTGAAAAACTGTAATTTCCTAGCAGTAATGTGGTCAGTGGAATAATCAACACAGTGCTGTGATACTTTTATTGTTGAAAATGTTGGCTAGTTTTCCTTCATTCTCCTCTCCATGATAGTTGAGCTGGTTAGTGAGTCACTAATCAAGGCTTTGTCATCACTGTGACATGTACATTCTGCATATTTGGCCTGCAGTTGCTGTACCATGTGCTTATGTTTAATTGTCATCCATACAACATTCCCCATGATGTTACTGGCAATCAACAAAACATTATCCTTAGGCTCACATAATCTTGTCAACTTTCTGTTTGTTTTTTTGGTATTTGTCTGTGGCAGAATCAGGCCTCAGGAGGCAATCATACAAACCCAAAATGTATGTGAGGAACACTTTCTCTCCTTGTTTGAAATGCAGTTAAGGATCAAACAGTTAACTATGGGTGAAGCCCTTTGTATGGATGCCAGTATATAAGTCAGTCTGAACACTATATTTAGCTGAAACACTGAATTGGGTGTGGAAATGGGTGGCCCTACTGAGCTTGTTGGGTTGTACTCTTTAACTCTGTCCAGTACAACCAATGGCGAAGAATGATTAGAAATGGAATGGCATAATTTGAGGGCCGACCATGCTCCACCTCTGTAATAACTTTTGATTTAGCATTACATAATTTAACCTAGCATCAGCTTTCACTGCATAATTTTGTGATGGGAAGTATTCCAGATGAAAGGACAAGGGGAAAAATGGCCAGTGTATGTTGCATGAAATCCATCTTCACTATTTTAGGTCCTCAAAGAGGTTCTACGATTATATCCACCAGCTCCAGGCACAGTACGCTGGACAGGGAAGGAGAATGTCATTGAAGGGGTTAAAATTCCAGCAAACACCACCCTGATTGTGAGTATGTTCAATGGGCTGCAGCATATGGTTGTCCAAAGCACTTTCTTTCTTTCTTTATTTAGCTTATATGCCGCCCATTTAGACATAGTCTACTCTGAGTGGCTCACAAAACGCAGAATAAAAACAATTAATATCAAATAACAATTTACGGCATTTACACAGAACAAAGTAGATAAAGATAGAGAAAAAGAGGAAGTTACATAGTATTGGTATTTGGCCCCAAATGTCCACTGACATAACTGAATTGTACACCTAAGGCAATGAATATTTGCTATGATTCCATAGGAGTGCATGAAAACAGGAGCAAGTGATAGCAGATGCTGAACTTGTTCTCCTAACCCATCTGTCTTTTGGGGGAGTGATGTAAATAAATGGTAAACAAGTCATGCTTAGATTTTTTTAATGTTGTACTTATTAAAATGTAGTTTCATAGATTATATATGTGTTTTAGCAGTCCCCTTTTTACTTATAGCAAAATGCTTTCATTTAAGTGTATTTTTTTCATATCTTCTATATTTATTTTGCTTGTTTTATAGTAACATTTGTATCCCACCTTTCTGTGGGGAAACAAAGTTTTGGAGGCTATCAATATATAAAATAGTCTAGAAGAGTTTCAAAGTCAGTCAAATTTTTTAAATGGCAGAAATAGAAAGGTGGGGATAGAAGATAAGTGCCCACAGTAATAATATCGTGATTCTCCAAGCATTTCAGAGCAGAGTGTCTCTGAGGAGATTATTCCAAAACCTGAATGCCAAGATGGAAAAGACAACTGCCTTCTTCCTTCTATGCTATATATCTGTGAACTTTAACGACCTCTGATCTGAGAAAAGTACTAGAGCTTACAAATGTAGTAGGAGGCAGTTTGAAAGGAACCTGGGTCGGGTTGGGCATCTTGGTGATGTTGGACAGCAATTCCTATCAGCCCCAACTAACATAGTCAGTGCTGAGGGATTAGAGGAAGACCTGGAGGGCCATAATTGCTCAACCTCAGCTTAATCTGAAGGCAGGCCTTCCTAACTTTAAGTCCCCAGATGTCCTTGGACAACTCCCAGAAACCTTGGTTTGCACAGCTAGTTATGAAGGTTTCTGGGAGTTATAGTCCAGGAACATCTGGGGGTCCAAGGTTGGGAACTGCTGTTCTAAGCAAAGTCTAAAATAGCATTCATTCCATGAAAAGGGTGTTATTGTGTTGACATGAAGTAAAAACATATCCTGAAAATGCAAACAGAAATCCATTATACTCTGCATTTGTCTCTTGCATATATCCAGCTGCCTCCCATGTGTAAATTTTAATTCCCCTCTTCCTTTGGCAGTTTAGCTCATACATCATGGGACGTATGGAAAGATATTTCAAGGATCCACTGACTTTCAATCCTGACCGATTTAGCAAAGATGAACCAAGGTGAGGTTCTGTCTTTCTTGCTCTCACTGGTCTGAAGGGCAATTCTAGGAAAAATGGCTGTAGATGCTTTCTCCTTCATTTTGTCTGAGGACATCATGTAGACATCATAATTTCAACATCCTCAGATATTTTCCTTACCCTCACTGCTTCTTGTGCTGTTTCGTCTGGTAAGGATATATGGACATCTCAAAAGTATTCATGTATTTTTGTACCTTTTTGGTTGGTCTAAAATTATGTTACCTGAACATGGATTGGGAATCTTTCTTAAAGGCAACTTACCTTCCTTTCAGGTGCTTCTCCTTTAATACACATAAGAATATGTAAGACTTTTCATGATTCTGGTGAATTGTGACACATCCAGCTAATTTTTAGAAGGCCTAGTAGAAAATGTCAGACTTCTACAGTGGAGGAGATGTCCTTGAGTATGTTGCAGCTATAGAAAGGAGCAAATTTGCTGTGTTTTTGTCATTTTTTCGCATTTCCCTCAGTATCTCTTAAAACAGGGGTCCCCAACCCCCATCCTGCAGTCCGGTGCCGGTCCGTGGGCTTCCTTGAACTGGGCCGCGGACACGGATCTCTGCCCCCCTGCATGGAAGCACAGGGGTGTGTCGTGCTTGCGGAGGGGTGTGTCAGGCTTGTGGGTGGGCACGTGCTTATGGAGTGGTGTGTCGAGCTTGTGTGCATGCGCACAAGCACAACACGGCCACCCGCAAGGGCGACATGCCCACACACTCTCAAAATCTGCCTGGCTTATAATTTCAGCCGAAAGTGGAGCAGCGGCACCTACTTGGTGAGCACGGGGCTTCCTCCCCGCCTCGTAGGGGCTGGGTCCCACCTCCCCCCCTGAAGCACCCACGTGTCCAGAAGGGGAGCCCTCTCCCTGCCCAGCAGTCTTCTCCCTCAGGGGTTTGGTGCCACCTGGGCTTCTGCTTTTAGGTCTCTCCCCCCTCCCCCGCTCGTCACGGGTCACCCGAGGCTGCTGCTGCTGTCACCTTGTTCTCTTTGCAATTGAGGTGAAGGAGGGGCCCTGCTCACAACCTGGCCACGCGCTTCTCCTTCCTTCCGCCTGGCACTCCTCTGCTCCCTGCCAGATGTGCTGTGGGAAGGGGTGATGCTGAGAGAACAGCCTTCTCGCACGCTCTTCCCTCCCCTGTCTTCTTTCGCAGCCTGCCACGGAGAGCTTACGCCCGTCCATCCATCCACCTTGACGGGTCTGTCGCTCGTTCCCTCCCTCTCTCTTCCTTTCCTTTTCCTTTCCTGCTGTTGCTTGTTTGCCACCGCCAGGGCCAAAGAGCCATGGCCAACAAGGAACAAACGAAGAGGAAAGGAATCTTGGTACCTAGTAGAACAGAACAAAGCCTATTTTATATTTATTTCTTCCATGTAGGCAGAACACAACATATTTCAAAATATATTGTTATTGTCACCCAGTAGTTGAACATGTGTAGCACCAAAGACTGAAAGGGAGCAATTTTCCTTCAGTGTGAGTAGAATTCTTTCTTCAGGCCTTGATGTAGTTTAGTTGTATGTAGGACCTGCCATGCACCACAAAGAGCTCTACCATCCAATACTTCACCATTCCTTTCCATTCCCCAGTATATGACTTCTGAATCACCCCATCCCCTTCTGCCTAATCAAGTGCAGACTGAAAGAGGAAAAAAGGAAATTCAATTTTTAAGCAAGGAACATCTTACTCCAACGTGTCCGATTGAAGAGACAGTGGTCTTCTCATCCCTTTCTTATTAGAGGCTGGATGTCATTGTGGCCATTCTGACCATGGCATGCAACAACTCTAAACAATAATATTGTGTTGTATCCAGACCGATAATTGATTATTCTTCCTGCACTGCTTCTTCCACTGATTTTACCTTTTACCTGTATGATCAGCGGTAACAATCTGTCACAGATTGCTACAAATACTATCTCTATCTGCAGCTCTTGAAAACTTCTGTTTAAAATTTATAAGGGCCCAAACCTTGGATCTTTATACTTTCTCTTGGATCAAGATAAAGAGGAGAGCTTTTTTTTTTCTTATGTCCAAATGGGAATGCCACTAGTTTGATGTTTTCTTTATAAATCAGCAATGCTGATCATGTGAGCCCTGTTTCGATAATTCACCTCCTGTGTGATAAGAGGCAGAATCAGTAGAAAATCAGTATAGTGTCAGGCCTGTGATTATTCTTGTGGATATCCTACATTTGGAGGGGTGGGAGATGGAACTTTGCCAGTGGCAGTCAAGACTGCTTTTGGGATGAACTGTGGAGCTGTTGAAAAAGAATGCAAAAGAGAAAATGTAGAGGAGACATGTAAACTGTCTGTAAAGCATTTGAGAATTTTCGTAGTTAAAATATTCTGCTGTGGTCCCTTGTTGATTATTGACACTTGGAATATACAGTGGTGCCTCGCTTAGCGATTGCCTCATTTAACGATGCATTCTCTTAGTGATGAGGTTTTTGGAGCGATTTTGCGCTCCGTTTAGCGATGTTCCCTACGGGGAAATTTCACATAGCGATGTTCGGGACCTTGCCTCGCTTAGCGATGACAGTTTTAGGTCCCCTGTTTCGCTTAGCGATGTTCCGTTTTCACTATTTTTAAAGTGTCTTAAAAGGTTTATCTCTTACCCCGTCTCCAATCCTAAGCGGGTGAGTCCCAAGCCCCTGGTCAGAGCTGTTCCCTGAACAGCTCGTACCGCGCTGGCCACAGACTAGGAAGAGCTGTCCCCTTCTTCTCTTGCCTTCACACTTTCCCAACATCAGGGTCTTTTCCAGGAAGTCTTCTCTTCTCATGAGATGGCCAAAGTACTGGAGCTTCAGCTTCAGGATCTGTCTTTCCAGTAAGCACTCAGGGTTGATT